AATCATGCCTTTTGATGCATTTTTCCCTAACACAAACAGATACTGTAAGTCAAAAAGAAAACAAAAGTGAGCAAAAACAAACAGTCAAAATGATAAAATCAAAAGTCAAAATAAGAAATCAGACTAGCTCTGGAATCTTTCCTGAGTGTCTAAAGTCTCTTCATCTCTGATCTCCAGCCTCTCCCCTTTGCTTTTGTTGCAGGCAACTAGATTTACTTGCAGCTAGGGTTTCTTCTTTTAGCCTGCTGCCTGGGAGGTCTGTGACACTTAGTTGCCTTTGTCTGATTCAGCATAGGGGAGGAGCTTTGTCTCCTGTTTAGTGATGTTACCTTAGGAACCAAGGTGGAGGCTGCTCATAGGTGGGTGGGGCAATGCAAATCTCTGCCTGGAGAATGGCCAAGGTGGCAACTTATCTTTTGCACATCCTTTCTCTCTACTCGTCTGGGTCCCTGGGCGATCCACTATGATGGGCTGTGGTGGTGTGGGAGGCACTGGGAATTAGCTGCACAGCTGGGAACTGGATCCAGGGTGCCATCAGTAGGCTGGGGTGGAGGAGGGGGTTGGGAGTTTCCTCCTCTGGAGCTGAGAGCCTCTGATCAGCACCTCCTTAAGATTTGCTGTTCCCTTACACAAGCATGGGGTCGTGCACTGGGTGCCTCAGCCAGGATGGGCCCAGAGTTCTAGAGCTCCAAAGTTCCAAAGAGCAGGTGGTGAGCGGTGAGAGTGGCCCTGGGCCCCTCACAGGGTACTTCAACCAGAAATGGAACAAGTATCTCTGAGGGGCAGGTGCCCAGAGCCTCCCTGGGTGACTGGCAGCTTGGTGCTGGGTGCTGGGCAAGACAATGTAGCCATGGAGGAAGCTGAGACCCGAGACTCCCACCCGGTGGGTGTCATGTATAGTGGAGCAGCAGCATCCAGGGGCCACAATATCCAGCCCTGCATGGGACCAAGGGTCCCTGGGCCTCGGACTAATGTGGCTGGTGGTGGGCAAGTGGGTGGGGGAAGAAAAGTAAGAGTCTTTTTGGGAACTCACGTTCAGAGAATCTCACAATTCTACCTATGGTGTCACCATCTAAAAGGCAATATTTTAAAAAATATATAGTGAACAAAAAAAAAGCTGTTTTTACTGCTTTTGGAAGCCCATTGGATTGAGTTACTATTTCAAGTCCAACTAATTTTGTTTCTCTATGTTTGGAAATGCAGAAGGAGACTAGAGATTATAGAATAACAATGGTGTGAAACATTAGGGATTTAACTCTACTTCAGGGGAGAATACACATTTGACATTGTTTATTCCCAGGAATATCTGACTCTGATGGGACACTTTCCCCTTTTCCCAAGAAAAGGAAACTTTAGCTATGAAATCAAGTAGAAAGTTTCTAAAGCTGCCATTTGTGTGGAAGAGTTTCAAGCTGTAGTACCTGCATCTCATTTTCTGGAAGTAGATGAAAATCGATTAGGAGAGACAAGTTTTCTGGAAGTAGATGGAAAAGGATGTAGGTGGTAGACAGGTTTACTAGGGGTTAGGCAAAAGGTAACTGCTGCATGTTGTAAAGTGAAAACAGAGAACATATTAGGTTCAGAGCACCTTTGTATCACACATAATATCTAACATGTTTGATATCTGCTTTCATTCTTCTTTTTAAAAAATTATGTATGACAGTGGATAGAGTCCAGAATAGAAGTTGTGTAATCTGAGGAATTCAGAACCCTGGACAGCTCATTAACCTCTCTCTCTCTCTCTCTCTCTCTCTCTCTCTCTCTCTCTCTGTCTGTCTCTCTCTGTCTCTCTCTCCCCCCCAACCCTATGTCTGTCTCTGTCTCTCCCTCTCTCCTCTTCCCCTTTGTCCCTCTCCCTGTGAGCGCATATGTGTGTGTGTGTGTGTGTGTGTGTGTGTGTGTGTGTGTGTGTGTTTCAAATATGCTTTGTTTAAATTGAGTCAAACACTAGTGCAGGAACACTGGACCAACTCTGCAGTGAAGATGTCATATGCAAGATCAAAGGTTCTGAGATGTGGAGTGTGAAGGTGACACATTTCAGGGAACACCTGAAGATGGAGAAGAAGCATCCTTAGGAGCTAGCAGGGTCTGGAACCGATGATTGTTGTCAGTTGCCTTCTTCACAGGGTCTGAAATAAACCTCAGCTGTCCTATAGATGGTGATGACTTCACGTCCCCAGCCCCTCATCAAGAAGCTTCCTGGATTATAACTCCTATGCATTGGCCTATCCTCATTTAATATACTTGTATCCTGACTTGGATAAAACTCAAGGGCAAAGAGACACAGATTCCATCTTTGTATAACCTTGCAGGACATCCACTCTACTTTGAAGAAGAATTAGTTTTACTACATCATTTCCTTTTATGTTCTGATGCTGAGGCCCAATGCCAGCTGACAAATTATCAGGCCTGCATCTTTTTAGAAAGCACTCGAACAACCACACCCGCTTCACTCTGCTTTGGGCACCTATGAGAATTTGCATTTGTTGCCCAGCTCTTGATAGAATTCTGACAATGAAAGAACCTCTCCCAGTTACAATATTCTTAGTTACTCTAGGAACAGGTAAATTATCTTCATTTTACAAGGGGCATTCAGCATCCCTATGGTTAGAAAATCTGTCTTTCAATCTACCTTAAACCATCACAGGAGGAGCTGTGTCCTCTGGACGTCCAGTCAGCTAGACAAAGTTTAGTGTGACCTTGTGCTTGTGAAATGGGCATCTTCTTGTTTTCCTGGTTCTTCCAAGCTGAGGAAAGAAAGTATGTCTAAGGCCATATGATAGAAGCCGTAACACCAAATTCAAAGGAAACAATATTTTATTTATGAATTAGTGCCTGTTCTTTCCCTTCCTCCTCCTCTTTCTCACTTCCTCTCTCTTCCTTATCCTTATTCTTTTCTCTTGCTAGCCTTCTCTCCCTCTCCCTCCCTCCCTCTCTCCCTTCCCTGCCTAGTTACTGGCACAGTAGTTTCTGTGTGTGAAAAGTAGGTGACATTCCATGTCATTCTCTTCTCTGCCTGCTCCCTTTGGCTTCTTGTTATTGCTCTTCCATTATCATGCAGTTTGTGGGGCACCATGGAAATTTCTATAACAATTGATTGTCCTTTCCTAAATAAAAAGGATAGCTAATAAGTGTAGGAATTCAAAAGGGCAGTGGACTGAGTGCTCCTGTGAGGCTAGTGAAATTCTGGAAATTACTAATAGCAACTGCGTAATTAAACCTCTTCATTTTAAAGATGAGAAAATAGGTTCAGAGAAGTTACAATCTCCTTAAAACCACATAGGTAGTTTGTGTAAAACTTCAGTTTAGTGTTCTTTCTGCCTACCACTCTATACTAGATACTACTACAGCCCACCGGAACATGACCTTCATAAAGGCAGGAATCATGTCTGTTTTATTAACTAATGTTTCCCCAGTGCTTGCCATAGATAAAAATATTTTGAATTTATGAATAAATTATGCTTAAGTTTTTCAGACTGGGATACACATTGTGATACATGAAATCATGGAGGAAAACCAGGTATAGTTTCATAAGATGCTAATTCAGATTTGTCTTGAGTATTAGTTTATATTTTATAGCTAGCAATTTAAAAATTTATCTTATGTTAATTCATGCTGTGAAATGAATGGTAAATTTGCATAAAATTTAAAAATAAAATGAATAGACATCAAAGTCATTATGAGTTTCAACTGGAACTTTTTATCTCTATCCCAGAGAGCTTGGTGTTCCTAGATCTTCCCATTTTTATAGGTAAGTTTGAAATCTAGTTTTTGGCTGAGCATGATGGCTCAGCCTGTAATCTCAGTACTTTGGGAGACCAAGGCGATAGGATTGCCTGAGCCCAGGGGTTCGAGACCATCCTGGGCAACTTGGTGAGACTCTGTCTCTACAACAAATCACAAAAACTGGTTGGGCTTGGTGGCGTGCATCCGTAGTTCCAGTTACTTGGAAAGCTGAGGTGGAAGGATTGCCTGAGCCCAGCAGGTCTAGGCTGCAGTTGCCATGAGCATGCTACTGTACTCCAGCCTGGGTGACAAGAGTGAGACTCCAAAAAAAATAAATCTAGTATTTAATATAATGTCTGGCTTTAAATGTCAACAATTAACTCAGAGTTTTAAAACTTGTGTGGAGCAAAAGAAATAAAAATCCTGTTTCTGAGCACCTGTTGTAACATCTGAGAAAAAAAATATGTTTAGACAGGAAGTAGATACTGGACAAGACCATCTTGCCATGGTGCCTGTCATTCTGGCCACAACTGATTCTCAGTTTCAAACTGGCCAGAACTCAGAGGTGAAAGGGTGAAGGCAAGAGACCTCTATAAGTTAGGACAAATCCCTACCTCAAACATCTGTCTTTTTAGGTAACCTCTAAATGAAAACAAAATATGTAGATGCTTTTTAAAAATTATAATCATGTCTCAAAAAGAGAGAAACCAGAGACAGGAAGTTTGAAGATGATTTCACATCTATTCTGCTGTACAAGAGGTTGCTAGTGTGATGATGGAAAGAAGACTAAATTCAACCTCATTGAGTAATGATACCATTTTTGAGGGGGAAAAAAATCAATGAAAGACATTTATATTACAAGTGGATTAAAGCATTCTACATAATAACAAATGCATAAATGTGTGAATGCTTCTGAAAATTTAACAGTTCATCAATGGAATTCCCCATTTGATCTGAAGATAATTCAATAATTTTCCCACCTCGATACAACCAAAACAAGATTAATATACTTTGTTATTGTACTTTTTGTTTTATAATTTTATATGTGATATAAAATATGTGCTATATATTGTATCTCAACCTATTCTAAAGAATAGAAGATATATATGCTCCTAATAAATTCTATATCCAGGCATTATATATGATTTGAACTCAGGTTTCCTTGCCAAGTCCCCAAATGTGCTGACATAACCCCTGCTTCTTCCTGTCTGTGACAGAATCTCTCCTCAGAGCCCTATCTCTTTTTGAGATCTTTGTAGGGCTTCTGTAGGCACCTATCTCACTGTGGCCTTACTCAGAGCACAGAAGTACACCGCTGAGTCCATGAGCTGTGAGGCTGTGATGGTGAGGTTGATGGAACTGGTAGATTTCTGGAAGTTCAGAGAATACCGACCCTTTGTTTCATCTTGCTCATTATAAGAGTCCTGACGAATAAGAAAAATCATTTCTCCACTTGGTGGTTGTTTGTACCAGAATAAGTAATAAGTATTTCCACGGGTTTCATACACACAATCCAAGGTCACGTCCTCCTTCTCCACCACAGAAATTTCAGTCTGAGCTTGAGTCACCTTCTGGGCCATGCTGGATCCTGCAGGAAAGATGAAAGAAATAGACTGATCCCTTGCTTGTAACCAAGGGAATGCAAGGAATGAAGTGGCCTAAGGACCCTGTGCTCTGATTCCATTGCTCATTACCCCTCCTTCCTAAGCCTCATTAGACTACAAAGATGCCTATCTCCACACCTTTCAGAACTGACAGGAGCCTTAGTTCTTGTGGTCATCCTTACCAAGACAGATGGAGGTTATGACTGTCCTCAGCAGCCTGGCAATCAGCATATTGGTAGCCCTCCCTCTGAGTGAAATGTTGTATGTTCTGTCTCAAATCTAGATCTTAATTTCACACCCTACACTCAAGAAGCACAGGCAAAGTTACTGTGCTGTGTGATGCTTCTGTACTATACAGGAAATACAGCTAGCTGATCTAGGACACGGGTGACTGTGTCAAGTCACATGCTTCCTTGTATAGGCAGAACATGCTAGACTGTCCTGAGTGCCTATTTTGTCTCATTATAACTTATTGGACTAGAAATAAGCAGTGGTAAAATTGAATCATGTTTAGATAATTCATCTTTGATGGAAAATGTGGCACTTAAACTTTATTATGAACTATGGTGAATAAATAGTATAACATGGATATGCACCTTTTGTTCTTCTGTATGCCTCTGCCAAAAGAATCAAGGTTAGAAATAAATCACAAAGTTTTCACTCTAACAGGAAGGGAGAACTTTTAGTCTCAATCTCTGTTCCTACCTTGCTAGTCATGGATTTCTGCAAAAATTACATGGAAAATATTTTATTGTTATTGAATGATTTCACATCATACTTCCCGAGTCATTAAATCTGTCCAGGGTGTACCATGTCCAGTAACAGCAGGAAAAAAAACATATATATGTATATGTGCACACATTTTATGCATGTGTGCAGACAGAAATAAATTCCAAAAATTCTTCTCATTTCTCTAATACAGAATTTCTATAATAACTCAGTATGCATATTCCTGAAATTCCTCCTGCTCTTACCACAAACATTAATTATGATGGAAACTAGAATATGCAAAACCCCCAAAATATACAATTTGCAACAAGAGCATTATCAAAAACAATGGAATACCACAGAGTCCAATCTCCATTGGTTTTTGCCCCTAGCATCACAGTGAGTAAACTCTGCAGTTTTAAGATATTGGCACTTGTGTTTCACCCCTCTACACATAGATCACATAGATATTTACAATAAGACTGGGTTCACAAAAATTTTGTTATTGTTCTTCATAAATCAATACTGTTAACATTAGAGGTCAGGATATCAACATTGTCTGTGGATTTTATTTTTATAGAGCAGTTGTAGGTTCAAAAAAAAATTGAACAATTGAGTGGAAGGTACAGAGATTCACCATATAGTTCCTGCCCCACACAAGTGAAGACACCTCCATTTTCCACATCTGTACCACAGTGATACATTTGTTATAATTAGTAAGCCTATGTTGACACATCATTGTCACCTAAAGTCCATTATTTACCCAGATTTACATTTGGGCTCATTCTTTGTGTTGTACATTCTATGGGTTGGAACCCTAAACCTATAGCCAAATAAAACAAATTCCTAACTCAAAATTTAGTGGACTTTAAAATAACAGAGTATGTATACATTGATATTCACAGCAGCATTACTTATCATAGCTAAAAAGTGGAAATGATTCAATGTCCATCAATTGATGAATAAAAAAATGGATGGTGTATTCATACAATGAACTGTTATGTGGTCCCAAAAATTAGTGAAATACTGATACATGTTGCAACATGGATGTGCCTTGAAAACATGCTATGTGAAAGAAGCCAATATAAAAAACTTTCTATTATGTGAGTCCATTTATTTAAAATGTCCAGAATATCCATATCCATAGAGACAGAAAGTAGATCTGTGTTCTCAGTGGCTGGGGAAGAGGGAGGGAGAGTGTCTGCTAGTGGGTACAGAGTTGCTTTGTGAGGTGGTAGAAATGTTCTGGAATTAGATCACTGTGATGACTGACAACTCTGTGAATATACTAAAACCACTAATTGTACACTTAAAAGGATGAAGTCTGTGTCTCAAGTAAGCTGCTATTTTTTAAATGGCTGTGGTGAAAATATTCATATTAGTGATTGCTAAAGTGACTCAGGTGCTGCAGTGGAAAGGAAAAGTGATGGGTAGGAAACCTGCCAGGATCAGGACAAACTAAGATTATTATAATATTTCAATCTTTTTCTTTTGTTTTTTCTTTCTTTCTTTTTTTTTAGAGATGAGGTCTTGTTCTGTCACCCAGCCTGGAATGCAATGGCACAACCATAGCTCACTGAAGCCTCAAACTCCTGGGCTCAGGCTATCCTCCTGCCTCACCCTCCAGAGTAGCTTGGACTGCAGGTGTGCACTACACTGACTTTTTAAAAATTTTTTGTAGAGACAGGGTCTCACTATCTCACCCAGGCTACTCTTGATCTCCAGGCCTCAAGTGATCCTCCTGCCTTGGCCTCCCAAAGTGCTAGAATTACAGGTGTGAACCACTGTGCTCAGTCTAATATTTTGATCTCAAAGAAGAAGATGGTGTCTGTGGGTTCTCAGATGCAAATTTACCATGAAGTAGATTAGGTTTTGATTTCAGGACCCTTTACTACTCTGAAACCAAGAAGCTCGTATTTGTAATTTCATTTTCTTTTTATTAAAGAAAGCTCAAGAAATCAAAGAAGCATCAGCCCCCACAAAGAAGCATCAGCCCCCACAAAGAAGCATCAGCCCCCTGCATCTGTGCCTGTCAAGCCCACAGAACCATGCAAGATGGACAACCAACAAACAAGGCTCACAGAACTCCAGAATATTAGGAAAAGTTTCTCTTGGTGAGCTACATACAATGAGGGCTTCAGTGAGGGGCCATGTTTCTCTGATTTGTGGAGAAACATGAGATCATTTTTTCTATCTGAAGTCTCAGTTGACAAGAGTCCATGTGCATCCTTCTCTTTTTATAAATAGTCACCTGAGTTATTCTTTGGATGCTGAATTTGACACATGGGCATAATGCAATGATAAAAATAATATGTTAAGTCCCACCCTTACTTATAGTCATGTCCAGAATGCAGAATTTCTCGTAGCACAGACCCTCCAGTCCAGAATCCAGAGCATTTTTTAGTGTTACAATAAGGAGATGCAGGCTGATGGGAAGATCAGTGTGGAGGTATAAGCACAGTGTGAGCAAGATGTGCCAGGGATGCAGCCCTTACTGACTAGGCTGGTCTGAAACTGCAGTACCCATGACAAAAGGAAAATCTCTCTTCAGGACGCTCTCCTCAGAACTTACTGAGGCAGCAGAATTTTCTAGGCAATTACAAGAGAAGGAAAAGTCAAGGGAAGAGAGAACAAATCCCCAGTCACTGGAGATGGAGTTTCTGCAGGTGGAACTCAGTGAGACATACAACCCTGGTCTCAGTTGCAAACATGAGATTAGACTCAAAGTAATGCATTTGTCCACGAACTATTTCCCCTTAGAATTTTTATTCATGGGGTATAAAATCTTTCAGTGAAGACCACCTGAACCACCATGTAGCAGAGTGAATGTCACTTCTCAGGAATGTTTGCTATCCTGGGGGACGAAGAGACACCTGGACTGAAAACAGAAGCATTTCTAGAAAACAGAACTTGGGTTCTGCTTTATACAGTCCCCCTCTCTGCGCCCTCCCCAAATTCCACTATGGGGAGTAAGCCAAGAACTCCATGGTTCCTTGGAGCTGAAACATCAGAGATGGAAGTACTTGGAAGAAGCCTCCAGAATAGAATACTGGAGAGTGAAAATAATGCGCTCCCTTCCAAGGCTGCCCACTCCCAGGCCCTACCAGTGATCCTAGGTTCATGGTGGGTTCTCCCTGAAGTTGCTCTCACTGTGTCTCTCAGAGCGCGGTAGTACACAGCCGAGTCTGACAGTTGCACTGAACGTTTCTTCAGGTGGAAGGAGCTGTCACTCTTAACATGAGTAGCCTGAAAAACTCTGCTGTCCATCTCCTGGTTTTCTAATGAGCTTCTCAGGAGGAGCTCAGGCTCTTTGTTTTGATACTGCACATACCAAAAAAGAAAAGCTGAATAGATGGTCTGGTAAGTGCAGTTCAAGGTAAGAGCTGCCCCCTCTGGAAGGGTAACAGGACTTTCTGTCTGGGTCACCGATTCTTCCTTGGTCCCTCCTAAAAAAATAAATAAATAAAAGCCTTGTTATATTGGCAATGTAACAGGCATAATCTCCAGTTTAGAAGGAGTTAAAAGGTCACCAAAAAGTCAAGGAATAGAACATCTCAGAAGTTTTGAGTAAATGTCACTCACTGAATATCAACAATATCACAAATCCTGAGCAGAAAGCACACTACATGGCCGGCTCAAGTAGTAGAAGGTTTTGTTCAGCGATTCATCAAAGCTGACAGGGCTGGTCCTCTAGTTTCCCAATACTTTGGTAAAATGTTCTACAAAATCTTAGCTCATGTGTTAAGCAGGTTAAACTTCTCTACAAGATCATGCCACAGGCTAGAATAAAGAGAGATGTGCTCAGGAAGGGAAGAGGAAATTGTGTCAAATCACCACCTGACGGGAGCAGCGCCTTCTTGTGGCTTCCTTTGCCCCTGCAACTTACCTCATACCTTGGAATGGTCTTTACCCTGGAGTGGAGCCTGAGCTGCAGACATGGAAGGGGAATGCTCTCTGAGGTGAAGGGTGGGACTCCAGGAAGAAAGCACCAAACACTACAGACTTCACAGTGGTATCTGGGGCTGAGACAGTTGGCAATTCCTGTCACCCTCTCTTTAAGACACAGAGCAATAGGACTCCCCTAAATCTTTTCAGTCCCAGCATCTAATGTCTGTTTGTACTCAGTTAGTCTTAGGCATCTTAGGGTATCCTGAGAGTATGCAAAAGCATATTGTGAGATCTCTTTTGGCATATTCCCACTAGTTCCCTGGAGCCTAGGGGTGAGCGCCTCTGCTTAGAATGCCCTTCCTTCTCTCCCCTAATCTTTGCCTGGAAAGCTCCTTTTCATTCTTTAAAAACCAATGTACATGCCATCTCTGTGTGAAAACACTTCCATCTCTTCTGGCTGAGTTAATGCACACCATTTTTTCCCACCATACTTCCTGTACATATCTATCACATGTCGTATTAGAATCACTCATTTCTATTCTGTTTTTCAAGCTGCACTTGGCCGTCCTAAGATCAGAAACTTAGATCAGCAGCCCATTTCCCAAAATATACAAGCCCTCAGCTCATAGGAAATGCTCAGAACCATATATAGGTGAATAAATGAATGAATGGATATGTCTAGCAGATAAAATTATGTTTTGATGAGGGACAGTCTGTGTGAAAGGATGTGTCCTAGGCCCCTGGTGTGATCAGCTTCATTCAGGGTC